TTTGGAGACATACTGTCTCCCGTTGAGGGGAGCACACAGATGAACACGCAGCAGGATACTTCTGGGAATGAGACAGGACCATGGCAGACAGGCAGTCTGAATCCTGCTGTGCTGCTGGCTTGGAGCTGCTTGTGCTAAGTGCCTCCTGGGCGGAGTTTATACCTCGCATACATTCCTGCACCCCTGCCTCAGCCTTGATCCTCTCCCCAGAGCCAGCATCCCCTTCTTCTTCCCGGTTCCCAACACTCTTCCCCAGCCTAGAGACCCCCTGCCAGCACCCACTCCTCCCTCCTTCAATCTAACATTCTACCCTAATTTAGAGCCCATTCCTAGAATCAGCACGCCATGCCCCTTTCTATGCTTCTACCCCAGCCCGGTCCAGCCTCTTCCAAGCCAACATTCTTGTTTAGTTTAGAAAAGAGAAGGCAGAGGGGACAATGATAGCTGTTTTCAAGTATCTAAAATGGTGTTACAAGGAGGAGGGAGAAAAATTATTCTCCTTGGTCTCTGAGGACAGGACAAGTAGTAATGGGCTTAAATTGCAGCAACTGAAGTTTATGTTGGACATTAGGGAAAACATCCTAATTGTCAGGGAGCTTAAACACTGGAATAAATTGCCTAAGGGGGTTGTGGAATCTCCATCACTGGAGATATTTAAGAGCAGGTTAGACAGACACCTGTCAGGGATAATCCGGACAGTGCTTGGTCCTGTTGTGAGGGGAGAGTATTGGACTTGATGACCTCAAGGTCCTTTCCAGTTCTAGGATTCTATGATTCGTCCCCAGTTAGTCGACTAATCGCTTCCATCCCTATCTGATAAGGTTTTGCTTTTGCAAAAGCTTATCAGATAGTCGATACATTAGTTGACTAGTTGCTTCCCCCCTTGCTGTGTCTATCACAAAACAGGAAACGGGTGGGGGGAGAGGATGATGGGGGGAGCCAGCTTAAAAGCCAGTTCCCCCCAGCTCCAGCTCTGGGGGTCAGGGCAAGGTCGCAGCAGTGCTTCCTCTTCAAAATGTACAAGAGGCCCAGCTGGAGCTCTTGTACATTTCAAACATTGGAACAGGGGGTGGAGCCTATGGCCAGCAGAGAATTCCCCACTGGCCCCAGTGGGGGCTCTTGTACATTTCAAAGTTGGAATGCTGCATGCAGCCCAGGACCAGCGGGGTGGGGTCTCAGAATCAGCAGGGCAGCATGCATCCAGTCTGCAAGGAGAGCTGGTTTTTAAACTAGCTCCCCTTGCAGACCAGCTCCCGCCTGGCACCTCACACTGAAGCAGCGCAGGGTGTTAGGGGGTTCCCTGGGAGTAGAGCCAGGAATGCACTGGCTGCCGGCCCCAGGCCTCGGGAACTATCAAATAATCATGTAACCACAAAGTTTTGTTGCAGTTACATAACTATCCAATTACTCGATATCTAACATCCCTAGTTATCGAGAGCCTTATACCTGCAGCAGGTGTCAAGCCTGGAAGAAGGAGTTAAAAGGACTGAAAAGGGCACAGTTGAGGATTGATCAAATTCTCTAAGAGAAAGATGCCTTGTTGGAGTTCAGAAGCTGAGCTGGAGTTCTGGCAGAAGTATAGTGTCCCTGCCACAGGAAGCCTGAGATAGTTGGTAAGGAAAGCAGCAAGAAATAAGTAGGCTCTTCAATCTCTGTGCTGGTGGATGGGTCTACAGGGCATAGCAAGACTCCAACGAATTCAGAGACTATCCTGCCAGGAAAGTAGAGAACTCTCCAGCAGCAAAACTATTTGGATTGCAGAAAGTACTAAAAAGCTCTGTAGCAAGCCTGTGGAAGAGGTTTAGAAACAGAAAAGTTGCTTTACTGTGAACCTGCTAGGACAGGGGTGAGCAATAATTTTTGGCCAGGGGCCACTTCAAACATTTTTGAAGTGAGCCCAGGATGCCCCACAAGGGGCAGGGCCAGGATGATTCCAAGCTTCCCTGCCCACAGACCATGATTGGTCTGAGGGTGGTGGAGCCCCTTTGCCCCCACCCTTCTCACTAAGCACCCATGCCCCTGGCAGAGCAGGAAGAGGCTTTCCATGCTTCCCCACCCCCAGGCCAATTAGGTTCTGGGGACCGGGGAATTGCACTAAGTTTCCTCCACCCTGCCAGGAGCATGTAGCACTTTAAAGTGCTACGTGCTCCTGGCAGGGTGGAGGAAACTTAGTGCAATTCCCCGGTCCCCAGAACCTAATTGGCCTGGGGGTGGGGAAGCATGGAAAGCCTCTTCCTGCTCTGCCTAGGGGAGTCTCTTTTGCCCACCCCTGTGCCAGGACAATAATGCCCAAAATAGAACAAGGTAGGATATGGTCTAGGGAGGTGGTTAGGGTCTGTCCTTGACAACTTAATAAAAGGTCTTGAACCAGAATCCAGTGGAGAGGGGACCTGGGTGCCCCTACTGGCCCACTGGGGAAAAAAAAGGGAGTAACCCCCGCTCCCCTCCAGCAAGGCATAAACACTGAGTCAAGTTGAACAGAAAGCCCAATGTAAGGGCGACATTGTTATTTGTTGGAATATTGATTTATTTGTAAAGACTACACATGACCTGGCCCATCAGGATCAGCTGTCAACATTTTGTGCGTCAGGAAAAAAGGCAACTATGCAAGACTATGCCACCAGGGAGCACACTGTTCAGTGAGTCACATGCTTACACCTTCCTAGGTCAATGACTCAAAATATTACAGAAAGGTAAGGCTGGAAAAGACTATTTAAGTCCATCTCTGAGGATTAGTCTACACTATCTTTTTTTTGCTCTTATTTGCATCTTATTTGCATCTCTTCTGCCGATCCTTTTTGCGGAAGAGGTTTTGCTGCTAAAAATCCCTGTGTAGACAGGGCCATTTGTCAAATGAAAAACTTTTTGCACAAGATCCTTTATTCCTCAAAAAATGATGTTTACGGGATCTTGGAAAAAAGGGTTCCCCCTCCCCCCGACAGATGGCCCGTCTACATGGGGCTTTTTAGCAGCAAAACCTCTTCTGCAAAAAGGACCAGCAGAAGATATGCAAATGAGTGCAATTTGCATATCTTCTGCTGCAAAAAAAAACAAAACAAAAAAACCCAAAAAAACAGTAGTGTAGACATAGCGTGAATGATTAGGCAGGAGTAAATGCATCTAAACCATTCTTGACGGGTATTTGTTTAATACTCTCTTTAAAACCTCCAATGACAGAGTCCACAACTTCTCTAGATAACCTGTCTCAGTGTTTAACTATTCTTATACATAGAAAGTTTCTCAATACTTAATTTAAATCTCCCTTGCTGCAAACTAAGCCATTTACTCTTGTCCAACAAGGTTAGGACATGATGAACAACTGTTTACCATCATCTTTATAACAACCTTTTATATATTTGAGGACTTATGTTCCCCTTCAGTCTTTTCTTCTTTAGACTAAAACATGCAAATTCTTTCCTTACAGATCACATTTTCTAAACTTTTTATTTTTGTTCTTTTACACTCCTCCCAATTTGATCACCTATTTCTTAAAGTGTATGCTCAAAAAACAATTCACATCTATGTCTTAGGAAACACTCCTATTAATACATCCCAGACTAACATTTACATTTTTGAAACAGCTTTACTCTGTTGACTCTAAATTTGTGAGCCAGTAAGAGACTCACACTTTTCTGCAGTACTGTTGCATTTCCTTCATAAATGTAGTACTTTGCTTTTGTCATATTGATGAATAGATCTGAAATAGGTATATATGAAACCTTGCTTCCTAAGGAATGGCAAAAGAACAGTTAGCAGTTCAGGAAACACCTTGAATCTACTCCCAGGCCAAAGGATAAAGTCATGTATAGGTAATGCTAGCCGTGCACAAATTGGCCTGAACAGGAACACAGCTGGCATTTCTTCAGACCTATTGATGACAGAAAGTCCTCTTTAATCAGACACTGTTAAGTTGGGCTTTCAGTCCTCTTCCTGACCTCTGGCTTCCATAAAAAAAATTTCAAGTTAATACTTGTCCTGCCTTACCCAGAATACTAAGGCACTAGAAAAAGCATGGAGTCCCTGAGCTGCTTGCTCCAAGCAGGAGGAGTGATCCATAGCCATCTTAATACTCAGGGATCCCAATGGCTTGGACAATGCCAAACATTTTTTTTTTTAAATCTCAAATATCAGATGTATAGTTAATTCTCAGTTCTAACCCAGAATCAACTATATATATTTTAGAAACTTTGTCTGTCTGTCCATGAATCCATTTGTGTTCAAGAACTCCTAAACAGTAAGAGCTAGGACCACCCAATTTGGTATGAAGCATCCTCTTATAACTTAAAGCAAGATAAGGGGTTGGTTGTGCCTGAAATTTGACTCTTTCATAAAATGGAAAAGGGTCTAGTAGCAGAGATAGTTATACTGTATAATGACCACATAGGGGCAATGGGCCACAGATAGGGACCGGGATAGCTATAACACCATTGGGCCAGCAGGAGGCAGAAGCAGAAGTAAGGGACAGTTATCTACTATGTATTTCAGAGAGTTTGTCTGTTTGTGTATCTGTGGGTGTGTCTGTTCCCCAGATGGGGGTCATGCACCACTTCCCTGGTTCTACCTGTTGTAGAAGTCATAGAGAGGTACTTCTCCCCTGACTCCAAGATGCTGTGGTGAGAGCACTAGGATTGTCCTCTCTCTCCGGAGCAGTTTGCATACTGAACCCTTCATTCCCAGCTCCATCCCAGAACAATATTAAGTAATGGAGCCAAGCAATGGCAGATAAATCTTCTAACAACTATAAGACATTTATCAACTGTACACGCCAAAGCTTTTAGAACCCCCACAGCTTGCTCTTTCCAAGAACTGAC